CAAGTATTCACATGACGCTCAAAAGTGTCCAGATGCGCCATGGTCTCACACCGCTGATACAAACCTTCCTTTAGCGCACTTGTAGGTAACATGTCTGTGCTAAAACTACGAGAAGGAATATTGGTAAATATTGCGAGAAGGTGAGGGAGAGAGAGAGAGAGAGAGAGAGAGAGAGAGAGAGAGAGAGAGAGAGAGAGAGAGAGAGAGAGAGAGAGAGAGAGAGAGAGAGAGAGAGAGAGAGAGAGAGAGAGAGAGAGACATATATATATATATATATATATATATATATATATATATATATATATATGTCGTACCTAATAGCCAGAACGCACTTCTCAGCCTACTATTCAAGGCCCGATTTGCCTAATAAGCCAAGTTTTCATGAATTAATGTTTTTTCGTCTACCTAACCTACCTAACCTAACCTAACCTAGCTTTTTTTGGCTACCTAACCTAACGTTACCTATAAATATATGTTAGGTTAGGTTAGGTAGGGTTGGTTAGGTTCGGTCATATATCTACGTTAATTTTAACTCCAATACAAAAAAATTGACCTCATACATAGAGAAAAGGGTTGCTTTATCATTTCATAAGAAAAAAATTATAGTAAATATATTAATTCAGGAAAACTTGGCTTATTAGGCAAATCGGGCCTTGAATAATAGGCTGAGAAGTGAGTTCTGGCTACTAGGTACGACATATATATATATATATATATATATATATATATATATGTCGTACCTAGTAGCCAGAACGCACTTCTCTGCCTACTATGCAAGGCCCGATTTGCCTAATAAGCCAAGTTTTCATGAATTAATTGTTTTTCGACTACCTAACCTACCTAACCTAACCTAACCTAACTTTTTCGGCTACCTAACCTAACCTAACCTATAAAGATAGGTTAGGTTAGGTTAGGTAGGGTTGGTTAGGTTCGGTCATATATCTACATTAATTTTAAGTCAAATAAAAAAAAAATGACCTCATACATAATGAAATGGGTAGCTTTATCATTTCATAAGAAAAAAATTAGAGAAAATATATTAATTCAGGAAAACTTGGCTTATTAGGCAAATCGGGCCTTGCATAGTAGGCTGAGAAGTGCGTTCTGGCTACTAGGTACGACATATATATATATATATATATATATATATATATATATATATATATATATATATATATATATATATATATATGAAGCCTTGTACTTCTTTATGGTCGACTCGCCCCCGTGGACGATATTATTATTATTATTAATAACGGTATTATTATTAACATTGACCAAAATTAACTACAATTTTGCCTAATCTGAGGAATTCAATTAGGTGTTATTAGAGTGAGGATAATACTGGTATTCACTGTCACACAGGACAGAGGGTCATACACAAGACAATAGGTCTAAACTGTAGGCTGAAGCACAGATATATATCATGGTTACAATCACATTAGAGAGTAGTTATGTTTCAGTTTACGAATATGTCAATGAAACTTTCTATTGTGCACTGCTACACAAGGGCAGGGCTGGGTTCATAAGTGATGCAGCTTATAAATAAAATAAATAAAATTGTTCTTTATTCTTTAAAATGGACAAGTATATGTAGGATAAATTGTTAGGATGTCGTCTAGTGCACCAGATTCAATGAAATAGTTACACAGTTGGTGGTACAAGAGGCCAGGAGGTCTATAGTCCTTTATGTTTCACATTCATCAATATAGTGTTCTAGTGGAGGCATTAAAGGTTTATCACAGAGTTTACAATCTGAGTATTCTGGTAGTGGCTCAGCCTCACTAACCTGCCAGATGTGTCTATAGCCAAGGCGAATTCGCGCAATGACTACATCACATTGCCTGGTCCGGTTACTGTGCTGACCATACAGGTACCTATTATTACAAAACTTGTCATAACTTTTAATACTGCAGCTTTCAGGTCTCTGGGCATTTCTTAGTTCTTCTAAATCTGTGGTAATTTTTTTTAATTTGTATGTTTCTAATAATTGCATTAGAAAGTCCAAAGTCATAATCAGTATTTTCTTTCCTGTAGCCTCATTGGCCAATCGATCCACAATGATATGTTTTCCAACTCCAACTTGGGATGGGATCTTCTTGAGGTTATCTTGAGATGATTTCAGGGCTAAGTGTCCCCGCGGCCCGGTCCTCGACCAGGCCTTCACCCCCCCCCCAGGAAACAGCTGTCTAACTTCCAGGTACCTATTTACTGCTAGGTAACAGGGGCATCAGGGTGAAAGAAACATTTTGCCCATTTGTCTCCGCCCCCACCGGGGATCGACCCCGGGACTTCAGGACTACGAATCCGAAGCGCTGTCCACCCAGCTGTCAGGCGCCCTCCAAGAGAGATCTCTTGAGGTTATCTTGAGATGATTTCGGGGCTTTAGTGTCCCCGCGGCCCGGTCCTCGACCAGGCCTCTACCCCCAGGAAGCAGCCCGTGACAGCTGACTAACTCCCAGGTACCTATTTACTGCTAGGTAACAGGGGCATAGGGTGAAAGAAACTCTGCCTATTGTTTCTCGCCGGCGCCTGGGATCGAACCCAGGACCACAAGCGACCTTGAGATCCACACAAATTTTATACAAAAGTTATTAGAATTGGCAAAAATTCCATTCCATTTAATATTACAAGGTACTTCAGATATATATTGTGATGGGTTATTTAAGGACTGCAGAGCACTTTTAGTCACAGAATATCACTCCACCACCACTGAGCTTAATGCTAGATAAAATACCCAATAGATCAGTCTGTGTCGTGCTTGCCCAATCGTTCAATCTTTGAGTACCAGACATGATCTTTCATTCCCTTTATATACTGCACATGCACAACCTGTTCTACCAGTGCCTGACTGCACGGAGTCATTAGTAAAGGCAGAGGATTCAGTCGGTTTGAGATTCTGAAGATGACTGTCAATAGCTTCTAATGTTATACATCTCATAGTTTCAGTGTTATACATTTGTTTTACACTGATGGTGTATAATGTAGAGACCTGCACATCTTTCCAAGGGGGAATATAGTGAACAGATTTATCAGGGTTAAGAGACACATTCAGTTTCAGAAGATTATAGGCACAACAACTGAGCCACACACTGTAGGGAGCTTTTTGCGGCGGAGTGAGGGAACAGTCAGAATTGTTTAGAATGGATCTCAATTTAATTTGAATAGAGCTGGGGGTGGGAGCATTATTTTTTAAATTTTTGGTTGGCACAAAACATAGTGCTAAGTAGAACTATTCTCTCGTAAATGGAAGGTAAGTTTAGTTCCTTTCTCATGTTAACAATTCTGACAGTTCTAGGACAACCCAGGATGATGCGCATGGCATAATTCTGTACTACATCTAGGCCTTGTAATTGTTTAGGAGAAAAATTAAGAAGATGCAAGGCATAATAATCAACAACAGATCGTATAAAGGCAATATAAAAACTACGAGCATATTTTATGTTAATGCCAAATCCTTTGCCAACAAGAGTTTTGAGAGGTTTAAGACGCTCAACTAGTTTTCTGCGCAGGTTGCTGATGAGATTTGTATCGTTAACCTCGACTCCAAGATATTTATAAGACTCACAAGTCTCCACGGGCACTCCATTAATAGTATAGTTAACATGATGAAGATAATGGGGAATAAGAACCCTTGTTTTATCAACAGAGATTATGAGGCCACATTCTACTACTCTCTTGGAGAATGCATCAATCAATACTTGTGGTCTAGTTTTACTGTGTGTCATAATAAAAATATCACCAACATGTAAACATACAAATGATCAGACATTTCCGGCCGGGGACGCAGACTCCAAACACCAAATCAAAATGCAGATGACGGATCTGACAACGACTGTGGTAATGGTACACGAGGCGACGGGCAGTAGACAGGTGGGCCGCCAGACCTCCAGCTCCGCCACCACACTCCCCAACCTCAGGTGTCGCCACAATCAGTGAGAGAGCGTTGTCCAGGTGGTCCCCGGCCATCACAAATGACCCTGTGCTGCTTTGGCCTCCAGGTCACGTCCAGGGTCCAGGGTCGAGCCGCACACCTGACAGACACGTCACATGTGTCCAGGTGACCGGAGTCTCTGTGGTGGTGGCGTTGGTAGCCAGGACCTGAGGCATTACTAGCTGTCCCTCCACCTTCCTGGGGTCCCACCCACACCCCAGGGGACACACCCCCACCTTCCTGGGGTCCCACCCACACCCCAGGGGACACACCCACCTTCCTGGGGTCCCACCCACACCCCAGGGGACACACCCCCACCTTCCTGGGGTCCCACCCACACCCCAGGGGACACCCCCACCTTCCTGGGGTCCCCACCCACACCCCAGGGGACACCCCCACCTTCCTGGGGTCCAACCCACACCCCAGGGGACATTGGTGTCCTACCCACACACCCATTATTGGTGTCCATTACTGGATTTTATATTACATATATCAAGGAACATTTGCATCTTATACCATTATCTTCCGTGACTCCATCTGGAATCGTCGTTGGACTGGTCGGTAATGTGACGTCCTTGCTTCTTGCAGGACCGATGTTCGATCCCCGATGGTCCAAGTGGTTGTCCTCGTATGCCAGCTATAATGGCTTAGTGCTTACAGTCATATTAACCCAGACGCGAGCTGTGGCGCATTGGTAGCGCCCTCACCCTTACTCCTCACCAGGATTTCGGCTGGGTTCGAACCATGGCCCAGAATGTATCAGCAAGCCACTGATCCTTAACTGTTCACCCAGCAGTAATTGGTAACCTGGTTGTAAAGCGTTGGAAGGGATGTGTTTTCATGATAACTAATAGCTTAAGATTTAAACTGTTAGCATAGAGGTTTTGGAAAGTCCTGGGTAAATACTGGTCGGGAAAGATCTGGGTAAATACTGGTCAGGAAATAGGGATTTATGGAGCAAATTACCGGGTAAGATAATGGACGCGGGATCGCAGGAGGGTTTCAGGCGTAGGTCAGACATGTATATTAAGGAGTTTGGGCCGGAAATATATAGGAGCAGCCTGGTATGAGACAACAGGAGCAGCGTGGTATGAGACAACAGGAGCAGCCTGGTATGAGACAACAGGAGCAGCCTGGTATGAGACAACAGGAGCAGCCTGGTATGAGACAACAGGAGCAGCCTGGTATGAGACAACAGGAGCAGCGTGGTATGAGACAACAGGAGCAGCCTGGTATGAGACAACAGGAGCAGCCTGGTATGAGACAACAGGAGCAGCCTGGTATGAGACAACAGGAGCAGCCTGGTATGAGACAACAGGAGCAGCCTGGTATGAGACAACAGGAGCAGCCTGGTATGAGACAACAGGAGCAGCCTGGTATGAGACAACAGGAGCAGCGTGGTATGAGACAACAGGAGCAGCCTGGTATGAGACAACAGGAGCAGCCTGGTATGAGACAACAGGAGCAGCCTGGTATGAGACAACAGGAGCAGCGTGGTATGAGACAACAGGAGCAGCCTGGTATGAGACAACAGGAGGTAGCAGCCTGGTATGAGGCAACAGGAGCAGCCTGGTATGAGGCAACAGGAGCAGCGTGGTATGAGACAACAGGAGCAGCCTGGTATGAGACAACAGGAGGTAGCAGCCTGGTATGAGGCAACAGGAGCAGCCAGGTATGAGGCAACAGGAGCAGCGTGGTATGAGACAACAGGAGCAGCCTGGTATGAGACAACAGGAGGTAGCAGCCTGGTATGAGACAACAGGAGCAACCAGGTATGAGACAACAGGAGCCGGGGGGGGGGTAGAGGGGGGGACATCCCTCTACTGTGACTGTGGCGACCACACCACCCGGCCACATCCCTCTACTGTGACTGTGGCGACCACACCACCCGGCCACATCCCTCTACTGTGACTGTGGCGACCACACCACCCGGCCACATCCCTCTACTGTGACTGTGGCGACCACACCACCCGGCCACATCCCTCTACTGTGACTGTGGCGACCACACCACCCGGCCACATCCCTCTACTGTGACTGTGGTGACCACACCACCCGGCCACATCCCTCTACTGTGACTGTGGCGACCACACCACCCGGCCACATCCCTCTACTGTGACTGTGGCGACCACACCACCCGGCCACATCCCTCTACTGTGACTGTGGTGACCACACCACCCGGCCACATCTCTCTACTGTGACTGTGGCGACCACACCACCCGGCCACATCCCTCTACTGTGACTGTGGCGACCACACCACCCGGCCACATCCCTCTACTGTGACTGTGGCGACCACACCACCCGGCCACATCTCTCTACTGTGACTGTGGCGACCACACCACCCGGCCACATCCCTCTACTGTGACTGTGGCGACCACACCACCCGGCCATATCCCCCTACTGTGACTGTGGCGACCACACCACCCGGCCACATCCCTCTACTGTGACTGTGGCGACCACACCACCCGGCCATATCCCCCTACTGTGACTGTGGCGACCACACCACCCGGCCACATCCCTCTACTGTGACTGTGGCGACCACACCACCCGGCCACATCTCTCTACTGTGACTGTGGCGACCACACCACCCGGCCACATCCCTCTACTGTGACTGTGGCGACCACACCACCCGGCCATATCCCCCTACTGTGACTGTGGCGACCACACCACCCGGCCACATCCCTCTACTGTGACTGTGGCGACCACACCACCCGGCCACATCCCTCTACTGTGACTGTGGCGACCACACCACCCGGCCACATCCCTCTACTGTGACTGTGGCGACCACACCACCCGGCCACATCCCTCTACTGTGACTGTGGCGACCACACCACCCAGCCACATCCCTCCCTACTAACGGTGGTGGTCCGGGTGGGTTCAATTTCCCCTGCGTGTTGAGAGGGAAATTTATGCTCCAGCTGTCTGTCTGTCCGCTTGTCTCAGCTCCTCTTGTGCTGGTACCATGCCCCCCCCCCCCAGGGTCCTGTCTGGCATATCTATTTATCTCCTTGCAAATCCTGATAGCCTGGCTGTCTGTCTGCAGGCTGTCTGTCTGCAGGCTGTCTGTCTGCAGGCTGTCTGTCCCCTGACTGTCTGTCTGCAGGCTGTCTGTCCCCTGACTGTCTGTCTGCAGGCTGTCTGTCCCCTGACTGTCTGTCCCCTGACTGTCTGTCTGCATGCTGTCTGTCCCCTGACTGTCTGTCTGCAGGCTGTCTGTCCCCTGGACGGTAAAGCATGCAGCACAAGTTTCAACAAACAAGTACGTGTAATCTACAACGCTTCACTGAAGAGGAGGGAAGGGGAACTATCAGAGAGAAAGCGCCAAGTCACTGCGACTATATAGCACTGGGAAGGGCTCAGGATAAGGATATGGGATGGGACGGTGGGAAGGAATGATGCCCCCAACCACTTGGACGGTCGGGGATTGAACGCCGACCTGCATGAAGCGAGACCGTCGTTCTACCGTCCAGCCCAAGAGAGCAGAACTTTATTATATAAATGTCCTTCATTTGTGTAATAAAAATGGTCAGGCAGGAGTTTCTTTATTCTCACAATGTATCGATGGCTTGTGTTGCATACCTGGAGCATATCTGGAGCATACCTGGAGCATATCTGGAGCATACCTGGAGCATATCTGGAGCATACCTGGAGCATACCTGGAGCATATCTGGAGCATACCTGGAGCATATCTGGAGCATATCTGGAGCATGCCTGGAGCATATCTGGAGCATACCTGGAGCATATCTGGAGCATATCTGGAGCATACCTGGAGCATATCTGGAGCATACCTGGAGCATACCTGGAGCATATCTGGAGCATACCTGGAGCATATCTGGAGCATACCTGGAGCATATCTGGAGCATACCTGGAGCATACCTGGAGCATATCTGGAGCATACCTGGAGCATATCTGGAGCATACCTGTAGCATACCTGGAGCATACCTGGAGCATATCTGGAGCATATACCTGGAGCATACCTGGAGCATATACCTGGAGCATATCTGGAGCATATACCTGGAGCATATACCTGGATCATATCTGAAGCATATACCTGGGGCATATCTGGAGCATACCTGGAGCATACCTGGAGCATATCTGGAGCATACCTGGAGTATATCTGGAGCATATACCTGGAGCATATCTGGAACATATACCTGGAGCATACCTGGAGCATATCTGAAGCATATACCCGGAGCATATCTGGAGCATACCTGGAGCATATCTGGAGCATATACCTGGAGCATACCTAGAGCATGCCTAGAGCACACCTGGAACATACCTGGAGCATACCTGGAGAGGGTTCTGGGAGTTCGTCTACTCCCCGAGCCCAGCCTGAGGCCAGGCTCGAGTTGTGATACCTTGGTCCATCAGGCTGTTGCTTGGAGCGTCCCGCAGGCCCACATATCCACTACAGCCTGGTTGGTCCGGCACTTCTTGTGAGAACTGATCTAAGTGCCTATTGAATACATTCACCTTTGTTCTAGCAATATTTATGATGCTTGCTGGGAGGGTGTTGAACAGCTGTGGACCCCTGATGTTCAGACAGTGTTCTCTGATGGTGTCTATGGCACCTCTACTCCTCACTGGTCATAGTCTGCATTTCCTGCCGTATTCTTCACTCCAGTATGTTGTTATTCTACTGTACAAATTTGGGACCTGGCCTTCCAGTATCTTCCATGTGTATATAATTTTGATACCTCGCTCGTCTCCTTTCCAGAGAGTACATTTTGAGACCTTTGAGACGGTGCAAATAATTTAGATGTTTTATCATTTCAATGCGTGCCGTATATGTTTTCTGTATTCCCTCTAATGCAGAGATCTCTCCCGCTATGAAGGGGAAAGTGAGTACTGAGCAGTACTCAAGACGGGACAACACAAGTGGCTTGAAGAGTACAACCATTGTGATGGGATCCCTGGATTTGAAAGTTCTCGTAATCCATCCTATCATTTTTCTGGCTGACGCGATATTTGCTTGGTTATGCTCCCTAAACGTTAGGTCGTCAGACATCATTATTCTCAAATCCTTTGCATGTTACTCTCCTACTATGGGTACATTTGATTGTGTTTTGTACTCTGTATTATGTTTAAGGTCCTCATTTTTACCGTACCTGAGTACCTGGAATTTATCACTGTTAAACATCATGTTATTTTCTGATGCCCAGTCGAAAACTTTGTTAATATCTGCTTGTAGTTTTTCAATGTTTTCAGCAGAGGTAATTTTCAGGCTGATTTTTGTGTCATCTTCAAAGGATGATACGAAGCTATGACTTGTATTTGAGTCTGTATCTGATATGAGAATAAGGAAAAACAGTGGTGCAAGGACTGTACCTTGAGGTACAGAGCTTTTAACTGCGCTTCGACTCGATTTTATATGATTGACTGTTACTCTGTGTTCTGTTTGACAGAAAACTGAGTATCCAGCGTCCTACTTTACCGGTTATTCCCATTGACCTCATTTTGTGTGCTATCACTGTACCTCCCAGTATGCCACGCCCACACCCAGCAGGCCACGCCCACACACAGCACCCAACGCCCACACTTCGCGTACATCTAGCAAAGTGCAGGGCCCTTATCTTCATGATGTGGTGTGGCAGGTGACTACGCCCACGCCTGGCGGTGACCACGCCCACACCTGGCAGAGACCACACCCACGCCTGGCGGTGACCACGCCCACACCTGGCGATGACGTCACAACACCTCTATCATCACCATTAGTTCCTGAAAGTTATCTTAAAGACCAGTGGGAGGACTACCCTTACTGTCTGGTAGTTGTCATAATGGTAGTGGTGGAGGAACTACCCTTACTCTCTGGTAGTTGTCATGATGGTAGTGGTGGAGGAACTACCCTTACTCTCTGGTAGAAGTCATCAAGGTAGAGGTGTAGGAACTACCCTTACTCTCTGGTAGTTGTCATGATGGTAGTGGTGGAGGAACTACCCTTACTCTCTGGTAGTTGTCATGATGGTAGTGGTGGAGGAACTACCCTTACTCTCTGGTAGTTGTCATGATGGTAGTGGTGGAGGAACTACCCTTACTCTCTGGTAGTTGTCATGATGGTAGTGGTGGAGGAACTACCCTTACTCTCTGGTAGCAATTAGACAGGGGGGGGGGGCAATTACAAAACATGGAGAACCCATCTAATGAGTTCCCCATAACAAAAGTGAAGATACAATGGACTATAATACAAGATACAATGGACTGGCTATACAATGGGCTCAAACCTGCGAGTAACCGGCGAATCCCGGGTCGCCCCTTCAACCCCCCCTCCACCCCCCCACCCCTGCACGCTTTTTCGAGAGTCTCTCAATGAACGACCCCTATTTGACCCTTATCACATCCAACTGGAGAAGAGTTGTTACGTCTCAGACACAAGAGGCGGAATTAACACGCGACTCTGGCCCCTGAGTCCGCTTCGACGCCCCATACTGCAGGCGGGGGTGAACCTGTACCCTGTCTGGGGGTAAATCTGTACCCTGTCTGGGGGTGATGGGTCCAGGCGCGGTTGATACCAGCACTATGCTGCTATCAGGTTGATTGAAGATTACGGGGAACTGCAGAAGACCTATTGGTCCATACGAGGCAGCTCCTATTAGCCTATAAGAGGCAGCTCCTATTAGCCTATAACAGGCAGCTCCTATTAGCCTACAAGAGGCAGCTCATATTTATATTCACTCAAACAGATCCATATATAATGCCTAACCTACGCTTCAACCACTCCAGGTACTCCCTGGAGTGTTTGAAGCGTACTACCTGGAGTGACGTTACCCGGTAAAGTGTCCCATGCCTCACAACCCCCCAGTACACAGACCAGTACCCGCCCACAACCCCCCAGTACACAGACCAGTACCCGCCCACAACCCCCCAGTACACAGACCAGTACCCGCCCAGATCTTTCCTGAGTCAATGTGTTGATATAACCATAGGTTATATCAGCCTTGAGGGCGCCCCGAACACCAGGTTTATAGTGGTTTATCCTGGCCCCCCACGGCCTATCCTGACCCATATTATATATATATATATATATATATATATATATATATATATATATATATATATATATATATATATATATATATATATATATATATATATATATATATATATATATTGGTAGCAGTCTTTCCTGTAGACATATATTATTAAATATGACCGAAAAAGTAAGATTAATAATTCTAACACGAATTTTCTCAATATTTCTTATGGTTCTTTTCACTGTCGATGGTAATTGAAAAATCAGTTCTCCAAAATTCATTTTTATTTCTAGTCTGACGCGACACTTGAACGCGTGTCGTAATAACTTATTACATTTTCAAAGACTTTAGTTTACACACACACAACTATAACCTGCAAACACTACAACAGATTTCTTACTATGCTATAATTCGAACGGCTTTTCATTTTATATACCTGCATTTGAGAGAGGAAGTTTGAATTGAAAGCAAAGATCAACAAATTGATCGAAACTGTGAACGTCAAGAAATCCGAACTCCACCTGCCAAAGATTATTGGGGAATACAAACCTGGATACGCGTATGGAAATGTCAAGACACACAAGCCTGGAAACCCACTTCGGCCAATCATCAGCCAGATACCCACACCTACATACAGACTGGCGAAGCGACTCAACGGCTTGCTGACTCCTTATGTCCCTTGCACCTTCAGCCTGAAGTCTCCAAAGGAATTTGTTGACTTACTGCGGGGAACACGGGCCACAGGGATAAGAGCCTCGTTGGACGTAGAATCACTGTTTACCAACGTACCTGTGGATGAAACAATCGGGATGATAGCGGACAGAGTGTATCGTGATCCGGCCTGTACTCCTCTTGACATACCAGAAAACATTCTAAGGAAACTACTCCAAGCTTGTACTAAAGAGCCACCCTTCTTGAGCCCGGATGGGCACATGTATAAGCAAGTAGATGGGGTCGCCATGGGTTCTCCCCTAGGTGTCCTGTTTGCGAACTTCTACATGGGTACCATCGAACAAAAGGTCTTAGTCGACATGAACTTGAAACCGGCCATATACTGCAGGTATGTTGACGACATTTTTACACAGGTACCTGATGTCAGACATCTGCAGGAGCTGAAGGAGGCATTTGAGCGGAATTCTGTGTTGCGTTTCACTTACGAGATGGAGAAGGATGGGAAGCTGCCCTTTCTAGATGTAACAGTCATGGAAAGGAGCGGAGGTTTCCACACTGCAGTCTACACTAAGGAAACAAACATAGGAATGTGCCTCAATGCCAACAGTGACTGCCCAGACAGGTACAAGAGGAGTGTTGTTAACGCTTATGTCGACCGTGCTCTCAGCCACAGCTCAGGATGGAAGCAAGTCGATGAAGAACTCTGTAGGGTAAGGCAGGTCCTAGTCAACAACGGCTTCTCCAATGGTTTCGTTGAAGACATCATAAGAAGGAAGGTGAAACGCCATGTAACCTCTGAAGAGACAACTAACACAACACCTGTACCCCCTATTAGACTATTTTACAGGAACTTCTTTTCCACAGCTCATAAAACGGAGGAAAGGGTCCTGAAAGATATTGTTAATAGAAACGTTATCCCTACAGACAAAAATCAGAAGATACAATTGACGATTTACTATAAAACCAAGAAAACTGCCAACCTACTCATAAGAAACTCTCCAGACACAAAGCAGAACGCTTTAAAAGAGACCAATGTCGTCTATGCCTTCAAATGCCCACTTGGGGACTGTAAGCCTCAAAGAACTCAGTATATAGGCAAGACAAAAACATCTCTTTCCAGGCGATTAACGATGCATAAGCAACAGGGCTCCATTAAGGAACATATAATCTCTTCCCACAACCAGACCATCACCAGAGAAGTCTTAACAAAAAACACGGAAATCATCGATAGATACAGCGATAGCAGGCGGCTTGATATCTGCGAGGCACTACACATTAAGAAGTCAACACCAGCAATCAACAGCCAATTAATGCACAACTATATTCTACCCACTTCAAGACTCCGCACCAATATAGAAGCATCAAGAAATATGGGCCAATAGGCCCTCTGCATTTACTTCCTTTCTTCCCTTTAACTTTACCCAATATTACCCAATATTTCGTGTTCTATCTTGTGTTGAAAGTTTGTTTTCACCTCATCCAAAACTGTTGTAACATATCACCTCACCCAAATGCAGGTATATAAAATGAAAAGCCGTTCGAATTATAGCATAGTAAGAAATCTGTTTTAGTTTTTGCAGGTTATAGTTGTGTGTGTGTAAACTAAAGTCTTTGAAAATGTAATAAGTTATTATGAAACGCGTTCAAGTGTCGCGTCAGACTAGAAATAAAAATGAATTTTGGAGAACTGGTTTTTCAATTACCATCGACAGTGAAAAGAACCATAAGAAATATTGAGAAAATTCGTGTTAGAATTATTAATCTTACTTTTTCGGTCATATTTATATATATATATATATATATATATATATATATATATATATATATATATATATATATATATATATATATATATATATATATATATATATATATATATATATAGCTTGATGACTCCTGGCACTATCGTGAGACACCGTCCTCGAGTGTCATGTGTAAAATAATTAACACCATTCCTTTTATCGAGCGTCGCATTCCTGCATACACACTGCGCACTCCTCACCTGGGAGTGTGGAGTGCCAGAGTGTAGGTGTAGAGTACCAGTGTAGGTGTAGAGTGCCAGAGTGTAGGTGTAGAGTGTCAGTGTAGGTGTAGAGTGTCAGAGTGTAGGTGTAGAGTGTCAGTGTAGGTGTAGAGTGCCAGTGTAGGTGTAGAGTGCCAGAGTGTAGGTGTAGAGTGTCAGTGTAGGTGTAGAGTGTCAGAGTGTAGGTGTAGAGTGTCAGTGTAGGTGCAGAGTGCCAGTGTAGGTGTAGAGTGCCAGAGTGTAGGTGTAGAGTGCCAGAGTGTAGGTGTAGAGTGCCAGAGTGTAGGTGTAGAGTGTCAGTGTGTAGGTGTAGAGTAGAGTGTAGATGACCCCATCACCCATGGGTCCATCACACACACACACACACACACACACACACACACACACAAACACACACACACACACACACACACACACACACACACACACACACACACACACACACACACACACACACACACACACACACACACACACACAGATACAAGGTATCATCTGGGAGAGGAAATTCTTCAGGAGTCAGAGAAGGAAAAAGACTTGGGGGTTGATATCACGCCAGACCTGTCTCCTGCAGCACATATCAAGCGGATAACATCAGCGGCATATGCCAGGCTGGCCAACATACGAACGGCATTCAGAAACTTGTGTAAAGAATCATTCAGAACTTTGTATACCACATATGTCAGGCCAATCCTGGAGTATGCAGCCCCAGCATGGAGTCCATATCTAGTCAAGGATAAGACTAAACTGGAAAAGGTTCAAAGGTTTGCCACCAGACTAGTACCCGAGCTGAGAGGTATGAGCTACGAGGAGAGCTACGGGAATTAAACCTCACTTCGCTGGAAGACAGAAGAGTTAGGGGGGACATGATCACCACATTCAAGATTCTGAAGGGGATTGATAGGGTAGATAAAGACAGTCTATTTAACACAAGGGGAACACGCACAAGAGGACACAGGTGGAAACTGAGTGCCCAAATGAGCCACAGAGATATTAGAAAGAACTTTTTTAGTGTCAGAGTGGTTGACAAATGGAATGCATTAGGGGGTGATGTGGTGGAGGCTGACTCCATACACAGTTTCAAGTGTAGATATGACAGAGCCCGATAGGCTCATGAATCTGTACACCTGTTGATTGACGGTTGAGAGGCGGGACCAAAGAGCCAGAGCTCAACCCCCGCAAACACAACTAGGTGAGTACAACTAGGTGAGTACACACACACACACACACACACACACACACACACACACACACACACACACACACACACACACACACAAACACACAAACACACACACACAAACACACACACACACACACACACACACACACAAACACACAAACACACACACACACACACACACACAAAAGCAGCAGAAATTTTGAAGAGATCAGTATTCAAATAATACAATTCTGAACACTGTTACAGTAAACACTTTCCGTGGAAGGACAAACAATGGTTGTTGTTGTGTGTTACGAACCCGGATCCAGCGTCCGAGCCTGGAGCAGTGACAACCACGCCATCTGTGGGTCAGCTCCCGAAACCCCCGCCAAACGGACGACGACACCTGGTGAGGACAGCGTGTACTGGCCTCGAGGACAAGTTTCCAGTCTGGTTCCGCGCTCAACACCGCCGCTCCTGACCTCTGGTGAGGTGGTGCTCCGACGACAGCGCCATCTATGGGCTGGATACGTCAAGTGTTTGTGCCCGAGCCCGTAAGTGAGGTGTATTAGTGTCCCGGTTATTGATGACGTGTCTGCTTACAGAGCCGACCTGGGACCACTGTGATGGAAGTGGAGTCAGTCTACCCGAGGCAGCCAGTCTCCATACCTTGAACGTTGCTGCAGCTGTTGTGAAGTCGTCCTCCCGGAAGAACACTGTGGTGTGTTAGCCTGCCAGTGGAGTGGCAGTAAGAGGATTTACCCGGGACCGACTGTTGGAGACGATCATCCACTGGGGTATTGAGGACAGGAGGGTGATTTGTGATATCACACGAGACTCCTGTCTAGGGCGTACCCCATATATCGTTCGTGGAGTGGCCGCACCAGCCTTGGTGGCTCAGTACCTGCCAGCAGACCAGCTGGACGTGTGGTTGACGGCCTCCACGACGGTGCCCCCAGTGGACCTGTGTTTTGGCTGACCTGTGGCCAGGGTAGGCTCAACTTCTTTGGATATTTCGTTGTGTGGCCACGAAGAAGCACCAAGGACTCGGCACCGAGAGTTGTGGCACCAGCGTCTTCAGCAGAAGACAACGATTATGGATTAATCCCCTTGTATAGTGTTAATACCCTCCCCCTGTGCACTCTTTGATTTTATATATTTAATTGGTGATGGTAATAAGTATAATATTAAGTTCTTAACTTTCTTTCCCTACTCCCTTTAAGTTACTTACGTCACGGATCTCATCCCTTGATAGCCACTACTGGCTCGGGAACGGATACATTATATCTTCCTCTAACAACATCAGAGTAAGGACCCCGTTGCGTCCCGAGAGGGCCGTAACATTGTGAGTTGTAACCCCTTCCCCCTCCACCTTCCCCTCCCCCCTCCCCTCCCCCTCCCTCTCTCCCCTACCCCTCCCCCCTCCACCTCCCCCTCCCCCCTCCCCTCCCCCTCCCCACCTCCACCCCTCCCCTCCACCTCCCCCCTCCCCTCCCCTCCACCCCTCCCCTCCCCCTCCACCTCCCCCTCCCCCCTCACCTCCCCCTCCCCCCTCCCCTCCCCCTCCCTCTCTCTTGAGAATGGTTTAGTGTCAATAGAGAGGATCCATTACCTATACAGAAGGGACGTGTCAATACTGAAGGGTTAAGTATCAACACAGAAGGGTCCAGAGTCAATACAGGTGGGGGCAAGTGTCAATATAGTAGGGGCAAGGGTCAATATAGTAGGGGCAAGTGTCAATATAGTAGGGGCAAGGGTCAATATAGTAGGGGCAAGGGTCAATATAGTAGGGGCAAGGGTCAATATAGTAGGGGCAAGGGTCAACACAGTAGGGGCAAGGGTCAATACAGTAGGGGCAAGGGTCAATACAGTAGGGGCAAATCAATACAGTAGGGGCAAGGGCCAACACAGTAGGGGCAAGGGTCAACACAGTAGGGACAAGGGTCAATACAGTAGGGGCAAGGGTCAACACAGTAGGGGCAAGGGTCAACACAGTAGGGGCAAGGGGCAATACAGTAGGGGCAAGGGTCAATACAGTAGAGGCAAGGGTCAATACAGTAGGGGCAAGGGTCAACACAGTAGGGGCAAGGGTCAACACAGTAAGGACAAGGGTCAACACAGTAGGGGCAAGGGGCAATACAGTAGGGGCAAGGGTCAATACAGTAGAGGCAAGGGTCAATACAGTAGGGGCAAGGGTCAACACAGTAGGGGCAAGGGTCAACACAGTAAGGACAAGGGTCAACACAGTAGGGGCAAGGGTCAACACAGTAGGGGCAAGGGTCAACACAGTAGGGGCCAGGGTCAACACAGTAGGGGCAAGGGTCAACACAGTAGGGGCAAGGGTCAACACAGTAGGGGCAAGGGGCAATACAGTAGGGGCAAGGGTCAATACAGTAGGGGCAAGGGTCAATACAGTAGGGGCAAGGGTCAATACAGTAGAGGCAAGGGTCAATACAGTAGGGGCAAGGGATTGAGCCCTGGGGCCAGGGACGGAAACTACCCCTGGGGCCAGGGACATAGACTACCCCTGGGGCCAGGGACGGGGACTACCCCTGGGGCCAGGGACATAGACTACCCCTGGGGCCAGGGACATAGACTACCCCTGGGGCCAGGGACGGGGACTACCCCTGGGGCCAGGGACGGAGACTACCCCTGGGGCCAGGGACGGGGACTACCCCTGGGGCCAGGGACGGAGACTACCCCTGGGGCCAGGGTAGGAGACTACCCCTGGGGGCCCGGGGACCACCTGCAACAGGGGACACCCAGACAAGGAAGAGTGCCAGTGCCACAGGGAAAAGTGTGCCAGGCAGGATATTAAAGATGTGTGGAGGAGAGGGGGGCAGGGGAGGCACTACCCCATCCCAGCCCCCAGCCCCCCTAGCCCCAGGCACCGCCCCCCCAGCCCCCCAGGGACAGCTATCAACAGCCAATCAGGGGTGTCACCTCCCCCATCAGTCCTGCCCTGAGTGGACCCCACACGCCCTACCCCAGCATTCACACACACACACACAACGTTTATACACCGGCATTTATACCCCAGGACCCCAGCCTCTGGACCCCAGCCTCTGGACCCCAGTCTCTGGACCCCAGCCTCTGGACCCCAGTCTCTGGACCCCAGCCTCTGGATCCCCAGTCTCTGGACCCCAGTCTCTGGATCCCAGCCTCTGGACCCCAGCCTCTGGACCCCAGTCTCTGGATCCCAGCCTCTGGACCCCAGTCTCTGGACCCTAGCCTCTGGACCCCAGCCTCTGGACCCTAGCCTCTGGACCCCAGCTTCTGAACCCCAGCCTCTGGACCCCAGCCTCTGGACCCCAGTCTCTGGACCCTAGCCTCTGGACCCCAGCCTCTGGACTCCAGTCTCTGGACCCTAGCCTTTGGACCCCAGCTTCTGGACCCCAGCTTCTGGACCCCAGCCTCTGGACCCCAGTCTCTGGACCCCACTCTCTGGACCACAGCATCTGGTCACCGTTGCTACGGTGCATCTGGTCACCGTTGCTACGGTGCATCTGGCCACCGTTGCTACGGTGCATCTGGTCACCGTTGCTACGGTGCATCTGGTCACCGTTGCTACGGTGCATCTGGTCACCGTTGCTACGGTGCATCTGGTCACCGTTGCTACGGTGCATCTGGCCACCGTTGCTACGGTGCATCTGGCCACCGTTGCTACGGTGCATCTGGCCCCCGTTGCTACGGTGCATCTGGCCCCCGTTGCTACGGTGCATCTGGTCACCGTTGCTACAGTGCATCTGGTCACCGTTGCTACGGTGCATCTGGTCACCGTTGCTACGGTGCATCTGGTCACCGTTGCTACGGTGCATCTGGCCACCGTTGCTACGGTGCATCTGGCCCCCGTTGCTACGGTGCATCTGGCCCCCGTTGCTACGGTGCATCTGGCCCCCGTTGCTACGGTGCATCTGGTCACCGTTGCTACGGTGCATCTGGTCACCGTTGCTACGGTGCATCTGGCCACCGTTGCTATGGTGCATCTGGCCACCGTTGCTACGGTGCATCTGGTCACCGTTGCTACGGTGCATCTGGTCACCGTTGCTACGGTGCATCTGGCCACCGTTGCTATGGTGCATCTGGCCACCGTTGCTATGGTGCCTCTAACCACCGTTGCTACGGTGCATCTGGCCACCGTTGCTACGGTGCATCTGGCCACCGTTGCTACGGTGCATCTGGCCACCGTTGCTACGGTGCATCTGGCCACCGTTGCTACGGTGCATCTGGCCACCGTTGCTTTGGTGCCTCTAACCACCGTTGCTACGGTGCATCTAACCACCGTTGCTACGGTGCATCTGGCCACCGTTGCTATGGTGCCTCTAACCACCGTTGCTACGGTGCATCTGGCCACCGTTGCTACGGTGCATCTAACCACCGTTGCTACGGTGTATCTAACCACCGTTGCTACGGTGCATCTGGCCACCGTTGCTACGGTGCATCTGGCCACCGTTGCTACGGTGCATCTGGCCACCGTTGCTACGGTGCATCTGGCCACCGTTGCTACGGTGCATCTGGCCACCGTTGCTTTGGTGCCTCTAACCACCGTTGCTACGGTGCATCTAACCACCGTTGCTACGGTGCATCTGGCCACCGTTGCTATGGTGCCTCTAACCACCGTTGCTACGGTGCATCTGGCCACCGTTGCTACGGTGCATCTAACCACCGTTGCTACGGTGTATCTAACCACCGTTGCTACGGTGTATCTGGCCACCGTTGCTTTGGTGCCTCTAACCACCGTTGCTACGGTGCATCTAACCACCGTTGCTACGGTGCATCTGGCCACCGTTGCTATGGTGCCTCTAACCACCGTTGCAACGGTGCATCTGGCCACCGTTGCTATGGTGCCTCTAACCACCGTTGCTACGGTGCATCTAACCACCGTTGCTACGGTGTATCTAACCACCGTTGCTACGGTGTATCTGGCCACCGTTGCTTTGTTGCCTCTAACCACCGTTGCTACGGTGTATCTAACCACCGTTGCTACGGTGCATCTGGCCACCGTTGCTATGGTGCCTCTAACCACCGTTGCTACGGTGCATCTGGCCACCGTTGCTACGGTGCATCTAACCACCGTTGCTACGGTGTATCTAACCACCGTTGCTACGGTGCATCCGGCCACCGTTGCTATGGTGCTTCTAACCACCGTTGCTACGGTGCATCTGGCCACCGTTGCTATGGTGCCTCTAACCACCGTTGCTACGGTGTATCTGGCCACCGTTGCTACGGTGTATCTGGCCACCGTTGCTACGGGGGAATTAAAATTGAAGTTAATCTGATGAGTTAAATGAGTTAATCTCATGTAAAGTGAATCCTTCCAAGTAGACTTTACCGTAAGTGAAGGACGAATTTGTATTTTTTATTGCATAATTCTTAAGTGTGTTACTACTTTATGACATCACACTTATCAGGTCAATACAGGTTTAGGAGCCCAGCAGAGCCCAACCACTCCCTAGGTGTGAGAGTGGTTGGGCTCTCCTCACCCCTCACCCGTCGCCACCCCGTCACCATCCAGCCTCTGAGGAGTTCAACTCTAACCATCCGCTCATTTCTTGACTCAAGTTCTGACAATTTGAGACCTTCAAAGGGGAAGTGTAATCGGGGTGGCAATTTCCGTAGAGTTTTTTGTACTTCTCTTTGTTGTTCTTGTTAGTTTATTGTACTGTTGGGGCAACGGAGCACGTGCAGCCCTAGTGCACGTGTGTACACGTCCCAGGGCTGCTCTATTGTGTACACGTCCCAGGGCTGCTCTAGTGTGTACATGTACCAGGGCTGCTCTAGTGTGTACATGTACCAGGGCTGCTCTAGTGTGTACATGTACCAGGGCTGCTCTAGTGTGTACACGTACCAGGGCTGCTCTAGTGTGTACACGTACCTGGGCTGCTCTAGTGTGTACACGTACCAGGGCTGCTCTAGTGTGTACATGTACCAGGGCTGCTCTAGTGTGTACACGTACCAGGGCTGCTCTAGTGTGTACATGTACCTGGGCTGCTCTAGTGTGTACACGTACCAGGGCTGCTCTAGTGTGTACACGTACCAGAGCTGCTCTAGTGTGTACATGTACCAGGGCTGCTCTAGTGTGTACATGTACCTGTACCAGGGCTGCTCTAGTGTGTACATGTACCTGGGCTGCTCTAGTGTGTACATGTACCAGGGCTGCTCTAGTGTGTACATGTACCAGGGCTGCTCTAGTGTGTACATGTACCAGGGCTGCTCTAGTGTGTACACGTACCTGGGCTGCTCTAGTGTGTACACGTCCCAGGGCTGCTCTAGTGTGTACATGTACCAGGGCTGCTCTAGTGTGTACATGTACCTGGGCTGCTCTAGTGTGTACATGTACCAGGGCTGCTCTAGTGTGTACATGTACCAGGGCTGCTCTAGTGTGTACATGTACCAGGGCTGCTCTAGTGTGTACATGTACCAGGGCTGCTCTAGTGTGTACACGTACCAAGGCTGCTCTAGTGTGTACATGTACCAGAGCTGCTCTAGTGTGTACATGTACCAAGGCTGCTCTAGTGTGTACATGTACCAGGGCTGCTCTAGTGTGTACATGTACCAGGGCTGCTCTAGTGTGTACACGTACCAGGGCTGCTCTAGTGTGTACATGTACCAGGGCTGCTCTAGTGTGTACATGTACCAGGGCTGCTCTAGTGTGTACATGTACCAGGGCTGCTCTAGTGTGTACACGTACCAGGGCTGCTCTAGTGTGTACACGTACCAGAGCTGCTCTAGTGTGTACACGTCCCAGGGCTGCTCTAGTGTGTACATGTACCAGGGCTGCTCTAGTGTGTACATGTACCAGGGCTGCTCTAGTGTGTACATGTACCTGGGCTGCTCTAGTGTGTACACGTACCAGGGCTGCTCTAGTGTGTACACGTACCTGGGCTGCTCTAGTGTGTACACGTACCTGGGCTGCTCTAGTGTGTACATGTACCAGGGCTGCTCTAGTGTGTACATGTACCAGGGCTGCTCTAGTGTGTACATGTACCTGGGCTGCTCTAGTGTGTACACGTACCTGGGCTGCTCTAGTGTGTACACGTACCAGAGCTGCTCTAGTGTGTACACGTACCTGGGCTGCTCTAGTGTGTACATGTACCTGGGCTGCTCTAGTGTGTACACGTACCTGGGCTGCTCTAGTGTGTACATGTACCTGGGCTGCTCTAGTGTGTACACGTACCAGGGCTGCTCTAGTGTGTACACGTACCTGGGCTGCTCTAGTGTGTACACGTACCAGGGCTGCTCTAGTGTGTACACGTACCTGGGCTGCTCTAGTGTGTACACGTACCAGGGCTGCTCTAGTGTGTACATGTACCAGGGCTGCTCTAGTGTGTACACGTACCTGGGCTGCTCTAGTGTGTACACGTACCAGGGCTGCTCTAGTGTGTACATGTACCTGGGCTGCTCTAGTGTGTACACGTACCAGGGCTGCTCTAGTGTGTACATGTACCAGGGCTGCTCTAGTGTGTACATGTACCTGGGCTGCTCTAGTGTGTACATGTACCAGGGCTGCTCTAGTGTGTACATGTACCAGGGCTGCTCTAGTGTGTACATGTACCTGGGCTGCTCTAGTGTGTACATGTACCAGAGCTGCTCTAGTGTGTACACGTACCAGGGCTGCTCTAGTGTGTACACGTACCAGGGCTGCTCTAGTGTGTACATGTACCAGGGCTGCTCTAGTGTGTACACGTACCTGGGCTGCTCTAGTGTGGACACGTACCAGGGCTGCTCTAGTGTGTACACGTACCTGGGCTGCTCTAGTGTGGACACGTACCAGGGCTGCTCTAGTGTGTACACGTACCTGGGCTGCTCTAGTGTGTACATGTACCAGGGCTGCTCTAGTGTGTACATGTACCAGAGCTGCTCTAGTGTGTACATGTACCAGGGCTGCTCTAGTGTGTACATGTACCAGGGCTGCTCTAGTGTGTACACGTACCAGAGCTGCTCTAGTGTGTACATGTACCAGGGCTGCTCTAGTGTGTACACGTACCAGAGCTGCTCTAGTGTGTACACGTACCAGGGCTGCTCTAGTGTGTACATGTACCAGAGCTGCTCTAGTGTGTACATGTACCAGAGCTGCTCTAGTGTGTACACGTACCAGGGCTGCTCTAGTGTGTACACGTACCTGGGCTGCTCTAGTGTGTACATGTACCAGGGCTGCTCTAGTGTGTACACGTACCAAGGCTGCTCTAGTGTGTACACGTACCTGGGCTGCTCTAGTGTGTACATGTACCAAGGCTGCTCTAGTGTGTACATGTACCAAGGCTGCTCTAGTGTGTACATGTACCAGAGCTGCTCTAGTGTGTACATGTACCAGGGCTGCTCTAGTGTGTACACGTCCCAGGGCTGCTCTAGTGTGTACATGTACCAGGGCTGCTCTAGTGTGTACACGTACCAAGGCTGCTCTAGTGTGTACATGTACCAAGGCTGCTCTAGTGTGTACATGTACCAGAGCTGCTCTAGTGTGTACATGTACCAGGGCTGCTCTAGTGTGTACACGTCCCAGGGCTGCTCTAGTGTGTACATGTACCAGGGCTGCTCTAGTGTGTACACGTCCCAGGGCTGCTCTAGTGTGTACACGTCCCAGGGCTGCTCTAGTGTGTACATGTACCAGGGCTGCTCTAGTGTGTACACGTACCAGGGCTGCTCTAGTGTGTACATGTACCAAGGCTGCTCTAGTGTGTACATGTACCAAGGCTGCTCTAGTGTGTACATGTACCAGGGCTGCTCTAGTGTGTACATGTACCAGGGCTGCTCTAGTGTGTACATGTACCAGGGCTGCTCTAGTGTGTACATGTACCAGAGCTGCTCTAGTGTGTACATGTACCAGGGCTGCTCTAGTGTGTACACGTACCAGGGCTGCTCTAGTGTGTACATGTACCAGAGCTGCTCTAGTGTGTACATGTACCAGGGCTGCTCTAGTGTGTACATGTACCAGAGCTGCTCTAGTGTGTACATGTACCAGGGCTGCTCTAGTGTGTACATGTACCAGGGCTGCTCTAGTGTGTACATGTACCTGGGCTGCTCTAGTGTGTACATGTACCTGGGCTGCTCTATTGTGTACATGTACCTGGGCTGCTCTAGTGTGTACATGTACCTGGGCTGCTCTAGTGTGTACATGTACCAGGGCTGCTCTAGTGTGTACACGTACCAAGGCTGCTCTAGTGTGTACACGTACCAGGGCTGCTCTAGTGTGTACACGTACCAAGGCTGCTCTAGTGTGTACACGTACCTGGGCTGCTCTAGTGTGTACATGTACCAGGGCTGCTCTAGTGTGTACACGTACCTGGGCTGCTCTAGTGTGTACACGTACCTGGGCTGCTCTATTGTGTACACGTACCAGAGCTGCTCTAGTGTGTACACGTACCAGAGCTGCTCTAGTGTGTACATGTACCAGGGCTGCTCTAGTGTGTACACGTACCAAGGCTGCTCTAGTGTGTACACGTACCAGGGCTGCTCTAGTGTGTACATGTACCTGGGCTGCTCTAGTGTGTACACGTACCAGAGCTGCTCTAGTGTGTACACGTACCAGAGCTGCTCTAGTGTGTACACGTACCAGGGCTGCTCTAGTGTGTACATGTACCTGGGCTGCTCTAGTGTGTACACGTACCTGGGCTGCACTAGTGTGTACACGTACCAGAGCTGCTCTAGTGTGTACACGTACCAGGGCTGCTCTAGTGTGTACATGTACCTGGGCTGCTCTATTGTGTACACGTACCAGAGCTGCTCTAGTGTGTACATGTACCTGGGCTGCTCTAGTGTGTACACGTACCAGGGCTGCTCTATTGTGTACATGTACCAGGGCTGCTCTAGTGTGTACATGTACCTGGGCTGCTCTAGTGTGTACATGTACCAGGGCTGCTCTAGTGTGTACACGTACCAGGGCTGCTCTAGTGTGTACATGTACCAGAGCTGCTCTAGTGTGTACACGTACCAGGGCTGCTCTAGTGTGTACATGTACCAGGGCTGCTCTAGTGTGTACATGTACCAAGGCTGCTCTAGTGTGTACACGTACCAAGGCTGCTCTAGTGTGTACATGTACCAGGGCTGCTCTAGTGTGTACACGTACCAGGGCTGCTCTAGTGTGTACACGTACCAGGGCTGCTCTAGTGTGTACATGTACCAGAGCTGCTCTAGTGTGTACATGTACCTGGGCTGCTCTAGTGTGTACATGTACCAGGGCTGCTCTAGTGTGTACACGTACCAGAGCTGCTCTAGTGTGTACACGTACCAGGGCTGCTCTAGTGTGTACACGTACCAGGGCTGCTCTAGTGTGTACACG